ATTAAATATAATAATAATATATTATATTGTAATTATATATATTATATTATAGTATAATATAATATAGTTGTAATTTTTAACTATCCACAGCAACTCAACTTCATAATTTACTAAATGCTATTACATTGATTTTGAAACCAGCACAGCTACTATAATTATAGTTTACCAAACACTCAGCTGCTTTTTGTAACAGCTGTTTCTTCCTTCAGCACAACTAAAATAGTTTTTGCGACTATGTGTCGTCGCAGATTTGTCGTCGCAAAAACTTTTTTTGCGACGACATAGTATCGTCGCAACTGTATTTGTGACGATAGGCTGTTTTTACGACGACAGGCGTCACTAATACGCGGTTGCAAAATTTTTTTGCGACGACATTTCAATTGTTGTTACAAATAATCTTACTTTTTTGCGACGACAAGTCTAAAAAAGTCGTCACAAAAAACTGAAATTAATTTTTTTTATAATTTTTAAAAATGGCAATTAATTAATTTTTAATACTTTTAATTAAACATTATTATGTTACATATTGAATATAATTTATTAAGATACATTAAAAGTGAAATATAAATTAATATTAAAAAGATTAAATCTAAATAAATTTATAAAATATATTATGAATACTACATGAAGTGCATATATAATGTTCAAAAAATATAAAAGTCTAAATAAAGTGAAAAATAAAAGAGTACATATAACGGAACTAATCGTCTAAGTTTGCAGCATCGCCAACAACTGAATCATCATCAGGACTGTCATCATCTGAAGGAGGCAGAGGAGCGTCTAGGTCAACTGGTTCTAGACGATCAATCGTAGGTAATTGGATGTTGGGCTGCAATCGTAGACAATTGGATGTTGGGCTGCAATTCAGCCACGATCAATCTCGTTTACTGGTTGATTAACTATTGGGTCGACACTTGAAACCGGTTCTACTTCACCATGGTGAATCCATGTACTATACAATGGATCAAAACCAAATCGATGTATACTTCACCATGGTGGTTTATTAATTAAAGTTTGTCAATTAAAATATTAAAATTCTCGTTTTCTAACTAAATTTCGGCAACATAACGGCTTATTTTTCTGATCATCTAAAAATCTAAACCTGTAGAAAAACATTGATATGTCGTTAATTTCCTTAATTATTCTAGTGAGGTTTAGTTAATTTATTCCAGGACTTAAAATAGGATTTTTATTTTATTCATGTCAAGATTAATGACGATCGATTATGCAATTGTTAAAGAAAAAAAAAAGATAAAATTTTCTTCCCGCTAATAGTTAGGTTATGTTTTAGTATTTGGAACTGCTACGGCGAATCCAACTCATTATGACTAAATTAATGAAATACTATTGACTTTAAACTCCAAAGAAATTCTTCTAAATTTATCAGAATGTTGCCAGAAATGTTCTGTTGCACCATATAATTATCAACATTATCAATGTATTATTACTATACAGATTTTCGAAAAAAAAAATTACAATATGTGGAAACAATGATTGGGCAGAGATATTCGACGTAACAATTTGATGTAGTGGTCAGTTTTACTTATTTATGAGTTATTTTGTAACTTTTTGTAGCAGTTGGAAAATGATTGGCGGAAAAACAAGTTATATATATATATATATATATTCTTATTTATGAGTGTGTCCAGTTTTTAATAGCAAAAAACATGTTCCATTACAATATTATATACAAATATTCGTTTGATAGATATGTGTATGTTATCCTCATTCTGCACTAAGATATTTTTATAATTTATGAGGGCTAGACTTTTGTTGTTGGTAAGACCCTAATCTTCCATGGTGTTGCTTCAAAATTCATCAATAACAGAAACAGAAACGATGTGCGTTTGGAATTGATTTTTATTTATTTTTGAAAACATTTTTGCACACCTTTCGAGGCATGAAAATAAAAATGGTCTTTAAACTGTGTTTATTTAGTAAGTGAGAATGGTTTTGTGAAAAAATTACAAAACGGTTGAAAGTGATTTTTCCTTTTCTGTTTTCATTTTTCAGTACTTTTCAACAATGTTATAATATATTAATTAATAATTATAACCAAACACGATTTCACTTTTTATTATGCTCAAAACAATATCTTAAAAAATCAACCAAACGCAACTTTAGAATCGGTCACAAAATGATTCTCAAAATAATCTCATTTTTACTTTTGTATTGAGAACAAAATTATTTTGAAAACATTACCAAACGGACCCGATATTTCAAGCTTTGACTTTTTAAAACCAAGAATACATTAATACTTTTCTTTAAGGTTTTTTTTGGCTTAACTAGTAATCTAATCCATATCAGAGTTGAAAGATTACATGGATGCAGAGTTTGACCTCTAGGGTTTTTTTTAAATTAATTTGCCACCAAACTTTAATTATTATTTTGGTAAATGTTTTAATTTTTTGGAGGTTATGTAATAGATCAAATAGTGGTTAGTTAGCCGTTGACGAAACATATTTCCTAAAATAATATGAAGAGACAACTTAACTACACTTATGAGGAGAATAATAATGAGTCAAACATCAAACAACATTAGTTTTGATCTTTTTTTTTCTTGTTTTAATATAAATGTGAAAGTAACTAGCATCAACAGAAAACGCACAACCGAATTATATCAGAACGGATTAGACTGCCCAACTCGTAACCCCCTGCCTCTTCGGCCCGATGTTTGGCTCATTCTGACCCGTATAAGTATTAGGGCCAGGCTTAGGTTTAAAGTTTGGGGGCCGGTCTGTATAATATTTTAAATTTTTGTAAAATATTTCCAACTTTATATATTAAGTTTAAGATATTAACATCTCTCACTTACACTATATTAATATTAATTAAGAGTGACTATATTTACCCTCACTAAATTTTTTAGCGTCCCTACTAAATCATGGTTTATTTTTATTATAGTTTTATCCTTCTTTAAAATTACATTAAAACCTACTAATATAACTCCATTAACTATGATAAAAGCAGCATTCTTTTATAAAGAAATAAAAACATCAGACACTCACGTAAAAACATGACGATAGAAATTAGCAGCTAAAGTGAATGTTTCCGTCTCCCAACATTTTTTTTTCTCTTTCTTTGCCCACAATCAATTACTAAAAACGGATAAATAACACAATCAAATTAGCTTCAAAGCATAGAATAATAGGGTCTGTAAAAAAGTC